AGGAAACAAGGAGTTTAAGCAAAAAACACCCCGTGGGGATTTTGAGAAAGAGTAGTGAGTTTACTGCAGAGGAGACGCCTCAGGCTGTCCTGATAGAGAGGCTGAGCTAGTGACAAAAGTTTGGATCGAAACAGGCCCTGATGGAGCCTTAATACGGTCGATCCCGCCATATATCTGAAGTAGATCTGCTTGTGGCTGATGTTAGACAGCAAGGCGGGGATGGATGTTAATTGTATGCGTCACTCCATGCCTCAATCTTCAAGCTAGATGGATTTCATACCTGGATATCTTGCAGCTGATAGACTGATAAAAGACAAGCTTCTACCATGATAGGATTGTACAATGAGCTCGCATCTGTCCAGCAAGAAAGTATCGAACAATTCCTGCGCACAAATCTACCAAAAGAATCACAGTTCGCCGAATGTGTCCCAGATGTAGTGTGACGGCTAGGAAGCCCATAATTACCTGCAGCCCATGCTATTCAGCAAAGGCCACTATTCATTACGTCAGCGCTAAGTTGCGCTGGTATTCAAAGTCGGGCTCTTTCCGTGCGCGCAGTACTATTGGTAGCTATCTCACGCGCCAAAATTGAGGGTTTATCTGGAGGATAGCTACTAGTCTTTAGAATAGGGGAGTCGTGTATACAACTAATTTACTGTATGCGGGGGTAGTTTTGATCTCGTTTTTAGATTACCTTTTAACATACAAACGCCCAAGATTCCTTTATAGAAACCGTTACGCGTAGCTGTACTATGCTCCAATTCTGCAAGGAATTATAGCTAAAGTCTCATTAAATGAAGAGTTGGGCAAAGATAAGGGTTTACCCAAAGCATTATGGTGCATCTCTTTGTATAGTAATTCAACTTTTAATTTGTTCAAAACTGCTATGTTTGAGGCCGGATGATCGACGTTGTATCATATAAAGTATATGACCAGTCCTACTGTGCGCTGAAGTGCTCGGAAAAATTGTTACAATAAGCCCGAGGAGTGGTTGGAATACCTGGCTACTCTAATATTCTGTCACGGCGCTCTCAAACCAGCAGGAACATGTTATCTTGGCTCCGGGTCGGTTATGTTGGAGCATAAACACCGTACTTCTTGTTATAAGTAGGCATGAATAACGATACGGAGAGACCATCTCATTCACCCTTGGTTTGGCATGAGAAGTTGATATCTGCACCGGCAGTTTAAATCTGCTGGGGTTTGTGTCTGGTGATCAATATCTCTGATATCTAGGATATTTTAGGAAACTGAACAAGCTATCTCTCGCAAGAGGTATGTATGAAACTATACTTGGTGACGTGTGATGTTAGCGTTCGAACAGGGCTTCTCCTAGACATTAAGACAGTAGTGGACGCTGTAAATCTGGCGTGGTATGGCCGAGCGACTGAAAAATTGAGGCTGCTGCCCTGTGATTTTTAGCAGAGAAACTAAGTTGAAGGTGGAGTTACTCGATATCGAGACCCACTGGTCGCCATCTGGCAATAGTGAACCAACAGACGGCCGAATCCAAATCGTGGTGGAGGTGATGGACCCAGTAAAGTCATTGCGGCTTGCCGACTCACTGGCGTATTAGTATGGGGGTGAGCGCAGACAATCGATCGGTGTGGGAGAAGAGGGGTGCAGAAGTGAGATGAGATAAACAGGAGAGGGCTGTGTTGCAGAGATAAAAGTGCTTGTGTCCCCAGATTCCCAAATGTCAGATACTCGCTCTCGGACAACGAATCTCGGAACTGAGGCTGACAAGGATAGATGAGGGGACAAGTTGAAGTGGTAGTGCTGGAACGGCTCGTGCACAGGGCGGGGTAGTTCCTTTTCATTCATATCCTTTAGCCCCAGGCACTGGGCAAATGAACGGCGCGTGACTGAGAAATCAACACGATTCAATAGGCTAGCTAGATCACGTCTCGATAAATTCTTGGCTATAACATTCTTTGGAGACTTCGAGCCAAGCTCGGCCGGCGGAAAGATGGCTCTCCTTCAATATGAGCGAACTTAGTAGTCGTACTTTCAGGAATATTTAGTCTCTGACTTTGATTTCATGCCTTCCATGCGCCAGGGTCTAGAAACGTGGGGCCGCGATTCAAGATGCTTGGGTGTGGCCTGTCTACTCTGTTGGGCTTGATATCGGGCCGAGCCTGTACCCCTGAGCCGAAGCGCTTTAGATGCCGAGGCGTGGGGTTTATTGCCCTTTCCATCTTGACCACGACAGTCGCAATCTTCACTTGTACAATGGGGTAGCGAGTAGTATACTCCAAGTCTAACTCTCGAGTGCCAAACTAATCCAAGCTTGATATACTCATTCAATGAATTCCATTATCAGCTTCAAACACATATTCCCTCGAGTCCACGGCTCAGCCTGGCTTGGGAGATTAGGTGGAGCCAGAAATGTCAACTCTTCCCGCCAGAATATACTCCTCATGTAGTTATTCTTCATTAGTGAAGAACTGAGGACTACCAGCGATGAGATTAATTTCGGATGACGGCTGGCTACCCGCCTGTCGACCGGTCATGCTGAGTGCTATGTGTGGCCCTCGTTTAGTTGGTCATGTGCCTTGCATGAGTTTGTGCAAGACAGCCTAGCGAACCAGGACACATTTATTAGATGTTGAGGGTATCGAGTCCTCTACATCCGAAGACGACGGAAGCTGATCGGACGACACAATGACAAAATCTCATATTCGTCTTGCTCTCACACCGACACGCGCTGCTTAGTCCTCATCTCTGTAGCCGGGCCTTCACGAATTATTCCCACTAGGTCATGTGGGATAACAAAATTTGCTTCGGCTCACCCGCGGCCTTGTTGTACTAGGGCCAACCCAGCTGCTGTGAAGAACTCTTCCTCCCCTGCGACTAAGGCAACGACCCTCTAGCGCACTGTCTTGGTTTCGAACGTTCCAGCGTACATGGTACTGGGAGCCCCTGTCATTATTACTTGATGATGACGATGAGATTGTTAATGAGCTGAATGAGGCTCGTGATCAAGGCAAGAAATTGAAGAGACATTCCAGTCTTCCTTCGCAGGCCGTCCTGGATCTCATTTGTGACTACACACATTCTCAGATGATGATGTTGCTTTGAGCTCAGAGATGAGACCAGTGAAGGGGAAATTACTGCTTTGAATCTCAGTCAATAAGGACGTTCCCGCGCTGAGACTGCGGGTCGCGGCTGGAGCAGCCAGTCGCAAAACGCAAGTTAAGCCATGAATCATGGTCGCGGGATCCTCATCAGCAACAGCGCATCGTGCAAAATAAACGACAATAGTCTTGCGTTGGAACAGCAGCCAGCTTCCCGGGCCACTATCGTTTGCCACATGATCAATCTGTACCAAATTCTACATCCTTTGCCATCGCTTGCCTGCTGTGACTGACCCAGTCAGCAAGACACTCCCAACACCCGAGCTGGCCGAGGGTTACTCCATGTTCTCTGCACCCACAACTATCTATCCTGGGAAATCAGTCTAGACGCCTCTACAGAAATCGATCGGCTGCCATCTCCCAATTCCCTAGATGCGGGGTGAGAAGTCGGTTGGCAGGATATCGATTCTGGGGACTATATGTCGCTCTTCTACAGACTCATGCGCCAGGGAGGGAGCGCCGTTTCCGTGACATGTTAGCTACCCCAAGAATACCCAGCACCGACCCAATCAGTGCACGACCTGCGTGTGGCAAAGACTTCTCTCTCCCAGCGGGTCTACCAGTCTGACCACGCGAGTCTGCCTGCTGACGGCTGGCTCTTCGACGTGGTTGTGCGAGCCGTAGCTACACTAATAATTGCCTGTGTGCGTGGAGAGACTCAAGTCCGTGGGCGAGGAATTGCCAGTCGTTTGATACCGGGAGATGTAGTCGAGCAAGCTTGGGTCGGACGCGCAGGTGGCAGAGTCATAAATATCAAATTGGCGAGCTGATGCTTTTTTTCTACTTTGCTCCAGCACCTGACAACAAAGGGCAGCTCGAGATGAGCAAGGGCCTTGTGGTGCCAGGAACCGTTACAGGTCACGTGGGGTTACAGGGAGGCCCTAGTTCGATCGGCAGTGGATTTCTAGAAGTAATATCTTATCCTGGTCATAAAATGAGGTCTAGAACATGCCTTCATCGTCTCACCACATTTCGAGGGGAGAGGGAAGGAGCGGGGCATTTGAGGGAACAAGCTCTTCATCTCCACCGGCGTCAAGTCCACTCTGTGGGAATATTATTCCTCAAGTCTTGCCGACTAGGAACCCCTCATCAATCTAACCCAGTCGGACCGGCCTCACCGCCCGCCCTGAACTGAACTTGAAAATTCAGCCCGCCCCACAACCACTCTAGCTCTCCAATCGTACTGACAAGGAAGCACTCAAGTGACCTTGTAGCCCATGAATCATTCCAGGCATGCCAAAGGATAGAAAATGGCCAGGCAGAGGGACGAGGGCAGCCGCTGAAGAGCCTTGCCCTGCTCGCATATGTCAAAACTACGGTGTCACGGGGCGTCAGCCGTTGCGGGATTTCCAAGCTGAGCCTAGTCGCTACTCCAAAGTCGGGGAAAGATTCATTCCACTTTCAATCTGGGGAAAGACTGGGGGAGGAGGGGCAACTACTCACTATCAGGTGCGCGACGGCTCCTACGGGAGCTAGTGGAATTAATCAGAGCGGGTGAGAGTAACTGTGCACGACTGGTTCTTCCTGATCTCCGGGTAAGGAAGCATGCTGGCGCTTCACGGTTGCTCGAATGTATGGTTCGTGCCTACTCTACTCTTTAAACCTTGGAACGGCTCGTATCTATAAAGAGTTGGCTATCTGCACCTCAAGTTCCTCATCATTCCCATTACATCAATCCACTTCATCTTCCAACTCTTACACCTTCTCTCCAGATCAAGTCTATCATTATTCAGAAGAAATATCCTTACAATCATTTTCAAGTCGCTCCTTTATCTCTGTGACCTTGGTAAGAGCCATTGCTGTGCACTTAATCGATTACCCTCATTGCTAATTCTGTGTAGCTTCCACCAAAACTTTGGCACAATGTCTTTAGTGGAGAAGAACAATCTTTACTGCACGGCCAAGCATGACGAAGGCCTAGCAGCTGAAGGCGACCCAACGGATCGCAGAGAGCTGCAACTTCTCCGGGAAGCCGAAGAGGCTCAAATGCTAGAAAAAAACATGGCTATTGGTACAGCCGTAAAGCTCTGGTGGCCCGCTATCCTCTTTAGCGTGGCAGTGTCAACGGGCGTGATTATGGAAGGATACGACAACCTTCTACTCGCTCAATTCTACGCCCTTCCGGCGTTTTGTAAGCGGTACGGCGCTCCGATAGGTGAAAATGGCGCCTACGAAATTCCTCCGGCTTGGCAAGCTGGGCTCTCAAACGGGGTGATGGTTGGTGAGATCATTGGCCTTCACATCAATGCGGCGGCAATTGATCGGTTCGGGTACAAGAAGACGATGTATGGCGCATTGATCGCTATATGTTCGTTTATTTTTATCCCCTTTTTCGCCCCCAATCTCATCGTCTTGCTGGTTGGGGAAATTTTGTGCGGAATTCCGTGGGGTGTCTTTCAGACACTTACCTGCTCGTATGCTTCGGATGTCTGTCCTGTCAAACTGCGGCCCTTTTTGACTACATATACGAATCTGTGTTGGGTCATTGGTCAGCTGATCGGCTCTGGCGTTCTGCGCGGTTTGGTAGAGAGGCCAGACCAGTGGAGTTACCGGATTCCGTTTGCGATCCAATGGTTTTGGCCTGTTCCCATCACCATTGCCATCATTTTTGCCCCGGAATCACCCTGGTTAGTAATTTGAGCATCAAATGTTAAGGGACTGTAAGCTAATATAATTAGGTGGTTGGTTCGTCACGACCGACTGGAGGATGCTCGGAAGTCTATAGTCACTCTGACCTCCACCAAAGATGCGCCGGCTTCTTTCAGTATTGACAAGACGCTCTCCATGGTACGTATTTGAAGACTACACGGCTTTGAATGCGGTGTCAACGTTCTTTACAGCTCAGAGTGAAGGCTAACTTGATTATTTAGATTGTCGTCACTAACAACATGGAGATGGCCAACTCGATGACGGCTGGATACGCGGACTGTTTCAGGGGAACCAATCTCCGCCGGACAGAGATTAGCTGTATCACTTGGGTCATTCAGAACCTGTGCGGAAGTGCTTTTATGGGGTATTCGACATACTTCTACGTCCGCGCTGGTTTACCCACGGTGATGGCTTTCAATATGACTCTGGTGCAGTATGCGATCGGCTTCGGCGGGACTTTCGCTTCTTGGAGTCTGATGGGCAAGTTTGGGCGACGGACTTTGTTCCTGACTGGCCTGACCGGTCTGTTCTTTGTCCTCCTTTCGATTGGAATTTGCGGCATGATTGACAACAAAGCTAGTGGGTGGGCGATAGGCAGCCTTCTCGTTTTGTACACGGCCATTTACGACTCTTCGATTGGCCCATTGACTTACTCTTTGGTATCCGAGATTCCGTCTACAAGACTGAAGAATAAGACGGTAGTTCTCGCGCGCAATGTCTTCAACCTGGCTGGAATGATGAATTATATCATTGTACCTTACATGCTGAACCCGGCCGCTTGGAATTGGGGAGGAAAATCTGGCTTCTTCTGGGCAGGAGTGTGTTGTCTCTGTCTTCTCTGGGCTTTTTTCAGATTGCCGGAGCCGAAAGATCGTTCGTATGCCGAATTGGATGAGCTGTTTGAGAAGAAAATCTCTGCAAGGAAATTCAGCTCGACTATTCTACATCATACGGGCTAGCGGAAGGTCTGGGATGTGTATGGTCCAGTTTTGTGGGGGATCATGGGATGGTGGGATTGGTTTACGGTTGGCTGGCGGCGTAAAAAGATTGGTGGGGATACTGAGTCGTTATTATTTTTGCTTTCATACCCCGATTCGTTAATAAATGGAATTAAGAGTTTAACCCAAAATTGTACGCTATTGATCCTGGGTGTTGTCTATGTCTATCTTTTCGATGCGCCAGAGCTTTTTATACGTCGTGGGAACGAAGCAACTTTTTATGAAGCAATGTCTCAACGGAGACACGTTAAGGGTAACCTTTACCATGATTTTTTTTAACAATAATCATTTTGAAACATTGAATGCAAAAATTACAATAAAACTTGATTTGGTATTGAGGATTAGAGCGTCATATTTCTGGTAAAGATTTCACCGATAATATTATATTCTCACTCGACATTGTCAACCCTCACCTGAATATAACCCTCGATGATGTACATCAAGTTTTTTTCATCTTGATTCTTGTGGCTTGACTAGGCAGCCTACAGGACCATGTTTGAGTCTGTCAAAACATTTCGCATGCATGGGAAACTTTGCCGTGGAACCCCCCTACATTTTTCTGGTTTGACTCTACTTCATTATCGATTTACCTTTGGTAGGTGCGCTAGTAATGTTACTACCAGTATAGACTAGGGAATGAGAATTCAACACTTGTCGGTGGTGTTCCCTACGAACCTCCAGCTCTCAATGTAGAGTCTGCAGAGCCGAGATTGAGTAGAAAAGGTATCAATTCAATCAGGATTCCCTATCGCTTTCGCGGTCTGTATCGTCTTCATCTCTCAATTCATACCCCTATCACCATTATTATGAAGCTAACCACCATCAGATCAGATGAGTAGGGTCGAAGCCCTGCTCATCACCAACCCTTGATCATGGAGGAAAAGCCGTCCGATGAGTTTCCGGAGCGTACCCAGCACCCCATACTGAGATGGCGGATTGGATCAAGTCGGCCTCGAATGTTACAAAGAAGGGAGATGTAGATGAATATGCGCACCTCATGTGGTCCCGATGTCTAGGCTTCGCCTGGCCGGGGCTGAAGGTTTTTTGAGACTTTTTCCCGGGCATGCAGTTTTCTTTGTTAACATTTTGTTATAATTTTAGATAGAAGGTTCCGTGGGAGAGGTAGCCGAATTCCACGGGTAAATACTGAGCTGAATAGCTATTCATCAAGGGAAATATAACAATGATCTTTCAGGTAACAGAAGAGGATAGGAGGACTGTACAAGGTGTGATCTGGGTCAGAGAAGAGCCCAATGTGTTAGAAAGTCAGAGACTCAAGTAGTATAATAAACTCTCACACACAAACCTCTCATCGTACAGAGGAGGATATAAAGTGTTAACATTTCTATCTTGATATAGACCCGTACAAACATACCGTATAATAGTAACTCATATTCATACTCAGGATTGCGATGGTTAGCAGAGATTGATGATGTTTATGGCAGTGCGGAGTCTGGTGATTAGTGACAGGGATATGACACGTGTATATACAGTGCCTCTAGGAACAGAAAGGTTAATCTTGAGACTGGGCTGTTTAAGGGATTAGCCTTGTAGGCGCAGCTGGGCTAGCTTGTAATAGGTTAGTATGTCTCTCCTTCTTACCCCGCTCGCCATGAAGTATGGTCCAATCGTCTTGTTCTAACAATCGCTTAGAGAGACACATATTTGACTGCATAACCCTTCATCATCAACACCACTATCAATTCATCCTCATCCCGGCAAACAACGTCTCTCGAAAAGTCTGCTTCAGAAAAAAAAGTTCTCAGGCATCTAACTCGCGATCAATGTATTGAAATAAGAGCATTAAGAGGACTTGGCTTTACATCACAACATATATCCGACGAACTTGGTTTCACAAGAAGGCAAGTGCAATTAGCGTGTGCTCGAGAGACTGTGAATCCTAAACCTCGCAAAGGACACCAGCATATATTAAGCGCGGAACGAGTTGATGAGCTTGAGGCTTTCGTCCGGGAATCTGCTGAAAATCGACAGATGTGCAATTTGGAACTAGCGATGGGACCAGAGATGTAGCGGGTTACCTAATGAGGTTATGTACTTAGGACTAGTAGCTCGGTGGTCGTGTATTTACGCGTCGTAGATAGAAAACAAAAGAGTACTTGCGACCTCCCACAGCTCCGAACCTTAACGTATTTCTAAACCCTTCAGCCACTGGGAATGTAGTGAGCGTTTAATTTCTAATTCACTCAAAAAAATGTTACAGCAGATGCATTGCTCGGAAGAAGCCTCTGTTAAGTGCGGTTAACATGCATGAAAGATTTGTAGCAGTGATAAAGGAAAATGGAGGGCACACAAAGTATTAGCATGGAGCAGACTAATACAAAGCATATCAAACGGTTTCATTTTAGTTGCAAGCCATACTGAGGGCTTCGATGTATACTTTTGCAATACAGAGCAATTATTATTGAAACAGATGTGTATTTCTAGATAATATCAATTTATTTTTTTAAATTTCAATTTTAAATGAGGACCATTGTACTTTTCATTTAGAGTTGAAAACTATTCCCATAATTCAGACTTTTACGGAGTATCATTGGATAGTACCCCTTGCTTGCATAACTAGTCGAGTAACTAGACATGGGCCTGCATGAAGACCATACCAATTAAGGCCATATGTACAGGGATTTAACCCCAGTCATTTTGACAGTTGTACTATTACACCCCATAAGAGACTGTATATATCGCGCACTTGACTCCTCTTTAACATGATGATGCTTGCCGGCAAAGACGAATTTTTCACCTTCCAGTGGTGCCGGTGTGATCGCTCAGTAGGCTCTGCATATCTGGGATAGCCAAGAAGAATCGCATCCGAATCGAAGTCGAAAGCAATCTCAAGCATGTCTCCATTTGACGACTTCTCGACAAAGCCTCTCTTATCATTCTCATCTGAGTTCTCAACCTCTTTCTAACTACTCATCATCTCGCCTCGACGACCAATAAAGAAGTTGCTCCAACTGCATACAGGAGCTTGCCCCATTGATCTCCAGCCATCACTCACTATATACTTACGACGCTATTTATACCCGCAAGGAGGAAATCAAGTCGAAAAATACAAAGCCTGTGCCTTGGCTTGTGGGGGACTGTTGCCTTAATGGGACAAACAACTTGAGGAAGAACAGGCGGCTGAGATGTGAAGCGAGAGGAGGAGCAGGTCTCTGAAGAGCATGCTGGGACTGATATTTTCGAGGAGTTTTCAACTTTGGATTTTTTGTGGGCGCCAAGACTAAGATTCCGGCTTATTAGCCAGGAGGGCCTCTATTTTCGATGAGTCAACGGCACTCCCCAGCGCCCTGGACGGCACAAAAGAAGCTAGGCTAAGCTACTATACAGCAATCACGCTCTGTCAAGACTTTTCTGACATTTCACCACGACCTTCGGGAAGGAGTTGGGAGGCTAGAAAGGCTGAGTGTGAATTCTCCGAGGTACCCACAAGTCTGCAGCGCCCAGCTGGCCAGCCTCTTCGAACACTTCGGAAGGGTCACTATGTCTTCGGATCTAGTCCTAATGTCGGTATTAGGAGAGCTCCGCACCCAGTGGTTTTTGCGAAATTTCCAGGCTACCATACACCCGCAAATGGCCATCGTTTCGTTGGCTGGAGGGGGAGATAATGAAGGGCAAAGGGCTCCTCTAAGTGTATGATCGAATGAGGACTTGTGAGGGGTGGTACTGTTTGAGGGGAGCTGTATGGGAGGCATAGGGGGAGATATACTACTGGTATAGGTATCCTTGGCCTGTTGGCAGAGAGGACCTGCAAGTCCTACATAGTCATAGACTCAAATAGGACAAAAAAATGAATTAAAAAATAATGATGATGCTTCCGACTACATTTATAATGCCCATACCTACTCTGGGCTAATCACCCCTTAATATTTCGGTCATACCTTCTAATTAATGCTCTTTTCGCCCTTTTATCTTAAATGACAGGTCATCATATTCTTCGTCTTGCTGGCCATCATCAAGCTCAGAGCTATGGACAGGTTAAATCTTTCACATAAAGATGTGTTATGATAGCCTGAACTTATCCCACTCGAGACAGTAGATCACTGGTTCAAATCGGAAAAACACAACCACTTTTCTGGCGGCGCTGGTATGCATGGATGACGAAGGCATGCTTGGATAAACAAAGGTTTTGAAACGTCCCTTTGGTGGCTATTTGCGGAGGAGGGTTGACTGTTTGTGTAAGCGAACATACCTTATAGCGGTATCTGTTGAAATTATGGAGTACAGAGATAATTCAGGTGATGGTTAATGGAAGTAATTGATGAAGGGTTTGGTTGTTGAGTTTTCTATTATTTCTGTGTTGGGATACACTTTATCGATCCTACTAGGCTCGATAATTAGTAGTCCCGACCGACTGGTGTTTGGCGAATGGAGATTGCGCATACCCTGTGCTAGCGTTGTTTACTGCTGTTAATAGGAGATCCCGCACGGGCTATCTATTGGGATTAAAAGGAGTCTGGTACCTGTGTTTAGTAGAGCAGTCGAATTGACATTATTTTATCCTTCATTATTGCATAAGTTTCCCTTTACGAATAAAGTCCACGAACTAAGTAGTGGGTTATACATTTCAATAGTATCTGCAAATGAAATCCAAAGTATGAGTGTCTCTAACGTCAAAAGAGTCATCCGATATGTATACAAAGCACCGGTCATGTGTCATAGCTATATAGTCGCATACACATCAAGTGATTTATAAAAAGAAAAAGTGTAATGGAAAACATTATATCGCGTGATATCATGTACACACACACATTTAATTTTGAAGTCCATTTAATGGAAGAGCAGATAGGAGCTAGGCCAATGAGGTCCACAATTTCCGCAGTAGAGCTCCAAATTGAGCAAATCTATACGATTTGGGGTAAAGACAAAAAGCAAGTGGCGTCCCTGCTCAGCCTTAATACATCAGGAACTTTCGACAACATGTCCCACGATCGATCACTACA